CGGCCTGGCTGCGGGAGCGGCCCGTGGACTCGCTCCCTCCCCTCCCTCCTTCCCTCAGTTTGCGGCCCGCCCCGGCGGCCTCGCTTTCTGCGCAGCCGCCGGCTGGCGAGCCTCGCAGTTGGTTTTAAAATAAGTTTCTCTCCCCTCCTACTCTTTTAGCATATTGCTTTTGTCAAACGTCTTTTGCTTCTCCGCCCTCCAACCCCACCTCCCGCCCAACCCGCGCACTTAAAACTGCAACTTTTCACTGTCCTTTGCACCTTTTGCAGTTGTCTTTGCAAACTGACACCTGTGCAATTTGTAACTTTTTTGGTAGAGCCTTTATTTTTAAACTTGTTTCAAATTTTAAAGCAGTTTTTTTAAAGCTTTTTCTAAAGTCATAACCTGCAAGATTTGAAGAGCATAGCTGTTTCTAAAGACATTACCTTTCTGTGGTGCAGTTAATGAGCATAGGAGAGTAAGTTTTTGAGTTCTTATCGTGAATAATGTTTGTCTTCCAGTCACATTCTTATAATGGTTTTTAGATGAGATATCTTTTTGTGTGTGCACATGTAGCCCTGAAACACGAATTGACATTATTCTTGCATATTAAAGCAGATGTGATAGTTATGTGTGTCATATCATCTTGAGTGTTTCATTATTTTCTATTTGAGGAGTTTGTTCTGGATATATGTGAGTCTTTATCTGTAAATCCAATCAGTGGACCATTTGACCCTTTACAAAGGTTACAACGTGTGCATTAGGGACTGGATTAATAACCCCTCACTTTAGGAAACAGTTTAATAGGAGAAACGAATAATGCAAAGGTATCTTTGTATGTTTAGTATTATGTAAGAGAAGTGCGAGTTGTCATAGTTATATTTACACGACTTTTTGGGGTAAATTTTTGATAAGTTTTATGAACTGTCATTTGTGATCGATAAATTCATTGTAACTAGGCTACTACTTTTTGTGTTTTTATTACAAGTAGACTTAATTTATTTCTAGAATTTGATGTACTGAAACTTAAGATTCTGGGCAAAATCTTGAAGTTGAAGATATACTGCTCTTGTGAACGGTGCAAGCAGATCCAGTAGGCATTCTTTATACAGGCAGTATGTTAAGCGCTTTATTCATTGAAAATTGTTGCATCACAATCATTATAGATCGTGATACATTTTAGATGCAGATTACTTAAGCAGTCTTGAGTTACTTTTGGTTTCTTTTGCAGATAACCTTCTGTTTGGTGATGAAATCATCACCAATGGCTTTCATTCCTGTGAAAGTGATGAGGATGATAGAGCCTCACATGCAAGTTCCAGTGACTGGACTCCAAGACCACGGATAGGTATGATTTCACAGCTTAACAGAGTAAATGTCTTTTTCCATATTTTCTTTTTATGGCAACTAAAAATGTAATTCGGTGTCCCCTTATAGCCTGATGATGAGGTTCTCGGGTGTTTGCTGAGATTTACTGTCAGTTTGTTCCTAGGGAAAGTCTACTGTTTGTCCTTAAACTGTTTGGGCCCATGGAAGGTGGCCTGTCTGGTATTTTCCAAACAACCAGGTCCTTCTCACACTTGGGGTTCTTAACACTTGTATCCTCTGTGGAATGGTCTTTTTCTCCAGTTAGAGTATCTTGCTTCCTCACTTCATATCCCTTCTTTATTTTTTCTTAATACTTACCACTCATTGACAATATCTATGTGTAACTTTTTTCTTATGTACTACTATATTTCTATTATCCAATGTAGTACTTAGAACGTAACAAAATAAATAAAAGGTGAATGAATAAACCATGAATGAAAGAGTAAATACAAATCTGTATATAATTTTTATTGCCTGTTTCCTGTACTAGAATACAAGTCCCGTGAGAGCAGGGATTTCTTACTGTTGTCAGTGCCTAGTAGTGCCTGGCACATAGTTTGTCTTCAGTAAATATTTGTGAAGTATTTGGATGGAATGGGAAAGTATTTTAACGTAGAGAACACTGTCAGATTTTTATACCGAAGTAATATGACCATTTCAAAATGATCTTTTTTTAATGTGCTAATTCTTCCAAAAATGCCTTGACTATTTAAACATTGTGATGATTAGTTCCTTTTCAGTGTCTATTATATTTACTGTATTTTTGGTTTTCTCAAGCTAGGAACTGAGCTAAGAAATTTCAAGGTAAAGAATTGTTAAAGCTCAGAACATCAGCACTGTAGGTATCATTTTGGGAGCTTGGTTAAGATTAAGTTGAAAGTTATTACTGGAAAAATTTTTAAAGGTAGTTATGTATAGATTTCTTTTTTCTTTATGTCTTTAATGATAAATAGTATAGGCTTTGGGGACTGGTGAGATCTTTCCCATATTGATTTGTAGAAACTTTTTGTACGTATGCTTGTCATCAATTATGTTGTATTTTTCTAAGTTTTAACCATAGAAATTTAATTCTAGTAGTTAGTTTGACTCTTAAAATATACATACTTGGTATTATGGTCTAGCGGCAGGCTCAACTGGTTTATAGCATTAGCTCTGAAGATACTGTGAATGAAACACCTTTATAGTGCGTTTTCTTACTCTGCAAAAAAGCCTTAAAGATTGCCAATTCATTACTTCAACTGAAAATAATTGAGACTTTGAATTACTTGGAAGTTTATTTGATCTCTTTTCCCTCTTAATATAGGTCCATATACTTTTGTTCAGCAACATCTCATGATTGGCACAGATCCTCGAACAATTCTTAAAGATTTACTACCAGAAACAATTCCTCCACCTGAATTAGATGATATGACACTGTGGCAGATTGTTATTAATATCCTTTCAGAACCACCAAAAAGGAAAAAAGAAAAGACATTAATACAATTGAAGATGCTGTGAAATTACTGCAAGAATGCAAAAAAATAATAGTTCTAACTGGAGCTGGGGTATGTAAGATACATAACACACTAGTGAAAGGGGGAGGTGGTGTACGTTTTTTCTTAGGGCTTGTCCAATTTGTAAACATTTTTCTGGTGTAGTAGAATTTATTTTTACTTGATAATGGGCATTTGTGTTTGGAAACTGCTAAAAAGTGAGTGCAGCAGTAGTTGCTAAATTTAGGTTCAGTTTTTTAGAAACCTCTGTAACCTTAAAAAAGATTTGCTTCTGTTTATTAGCACAATAGGTAGGTGGAGTTAAGGCAGGATTTTTCCCTACATTATACCACAACTCCTAAAGGAGATGCAGGGAATTTTGCTTGCATTAAAGTGTGTCAGGATCTGATGGCAAAATTGGTTTTTCGTTTGATCTTCATGGGAGGACCAGGAATCTAATAGGAATTAGCAAGTGAAGAACTTAGTGTTCAAAAGTTAACAGATTCCTACCTCTCCTCCATTTTAAATTAAGGTGATGTGATTGTGGTGGCTTGACATTTTTCATTTGCCTCTCTGTAGGGTCTCAGTTAACTAGCTGCCTAAGGCTATTTTATATTGTGTGTGGAATACAGAATATGTTACATAGTAGTGACCAGAACAACTGTGGAAGTAAAATTTATTCCTGCTTTCAGACCTTTTGAGTTAAGAATCTTAAATGATTGTGAAGAATAGTTACACTTTGCTCCCAGATGTGATTTAGACAAGTTTGCTTTTCTCTTAGGCCAAAGTGGAGTAAACTCTGTTAAAATTGTGAAACATAACTTCTGAAATCGCTATTTGAAATGTCAAGATTTATTTGTAGAAAAAGCATAGTGTGTGAATCTATTCTTAAAAATTGAAATACTGTAAAACATAGTTCTTTAAGGAAAATAAAGAAATTGAGTATTCTTTAAGTATTAGAACTGTGACCAGGTGAGAGATTTCTTTGGGAATAACTTGACTGTAATAGGAATTTGTGCCTGCTTTCTAGTTACAATAATTTGAAATGGTTTATTTCATTCTCAGTCAAGTTGTAGTTGCTTTCATTTGTTAAATGCTTATAAAGGTTTACAGTTAGCCTGACTTAAAATTCTTTACCCCATTGTGAACGGAACATGTGGATTTAATTGTACTGGTTTTCTGAGTGTTTTATTTCTAACTAGAAATTAGAGTAGGGCATTATTTCCATTCCTCTAAAGAAGTTTCAAACTAAAAATATTTTCATCTCTTCCCTAATTGTGTGATAAGGGGGCTAGTAATTACAAAGGTAGAGGTAGATGATTTAATGGTACAAATTATGCCATGCATATTTCAGGTTTCTGTTTCTTGTGGAATACCTGACTTCAGGTCAAGAGATGGTATTTATGCTCGCCTTGCAGTAGACTTTCCAGACCTTCCAGATCCTCAAGCAATGTTTGATATTGAATATTTCAGAAAGGATCCAAGACCATTCTTCAAGTTTGCAAAGGTACTATGAATTCCTATGGTTGTTCCTTTGGCCTTCTCTCATGAAAAATTAACTTTTGTTCACATTCAGGCTTTTTAAACTTACCATTCATTGTCTAGTAGAGTGGGTCCTAGTACTGTAGTAGAGTAAAATCACTGAAATACAGTCATTTCAGAATTCCCTTCTTCCAAGAAGGGACTATCACTTGCTTTTCATTTTAGGATTGAGCTTATTTTTAAAGAAGAGGCTATTTCATAGTTTTCAAATTTGCGCTTCAGTAATGGCCTTAACATTGTCTTAAGTTTTTTTTAGAGGTTGGTAGATCATATAAGAGTAACACCGTTTTGATTTTGAAAATTTTTTATCAGAAAAGGAGAATAACATATGCTTTGGTATGTTTTATAATAGCCAAGTTTTAACACACGAGGACATGCCTGTACAATTTGTGATTAGAGGTGGAGAAGATTCTTAGGTTGCATTTCAGTCGAGGTTGATCTGCTCTGGAGTCTCTGGAGCTGCTCTGTTCCGTTCAGAAGCCGCTAGCCCCTGGGGCTATTGAGTGCTTAAGGGGACTGAGCTATTACTATAGAAGTGTGGAAGATGCACCAGGTTTGGGAAACCTAGTATGGAAAACATGCAAAATATACCATAGAACTTATTGTGTATTAATAAATATATGTGGAAATAATACTTCAGTAAATCAGACAAAGACAAATATATGCTATCACTTATATGTGGCATCCAAAAAGAAAATGATACAAATGAACTTATTTACAAACCAGAAATACACTCACAGACACAGAAAACAAACTGGTTACTAAAGGGGAAAGGGGTGAGGGAGAGGCATAAATTAGGAGTTTGGGATTAACAGATACACATTACTATATATGAAATAGATAAACAACAAGGACCTGCTGTATAATAGAGGGAACTATATTCAGTATCTTGTAACTTATAATGGAAAAAATATGAAAAAGAATATATATGTACATGTATAATTGAATCACCTTATTGTACACCTGAAACTAACTGGTATTGGGTTGTAAATTATGAAAATTCATGTTTTTAATGTGGTTACTAGAAAATTTTAAATTACATACATGACTCACATTATGTTTTTATTAGGCAGCTCTGTTCTGGAGTATCAGTGTCGATATTTTGCTCATCCCTTGGTTTCTGGGTGGGGGAGGATTGGTTCCAGGGCCCCTCAGGTACCAAAATCTGAGGATGCTCAAGTTCCTTATTGAAAATGGCATAGTATTTGCATATAACTTACGTATTGCTATGGCCTGGAACTAAACCCACAATGTCTCTAAGGTATGCCTGTATGATGTGAATAGTTGCTGGCACAGCAAATTCAAATTTTGGCTTTTAGAACTTTTTTGGAATTTTTCTTCCCCCTGAATATTTTTGATCCACAGTTGGTTGAACCTGAGGATTTGGGACCTGCAAATACAGAGGGCTAACATTATACCATACCCAAGAAATTTTACATTAGAAAATTTTATCGTTAGTTTTATGGAAAGAATTTGCAGAATTATTTGTAAAGTTCAGTGTATTTGAAAGGGTCTTTTGTATCAGTGCTTATTTTTTTATGAGTCTAAAAGTTAAATGGACCTGAATTTTAATTAAAGGGTGACCTCAGCTTTCAAATCGTGTGGTCTATTTACATAACTTAAGAAAAACTCTGCTAATTCAGAATACATGGCATTAATTTAGCTTGATTGAATAATTAAAGAAGTAATTTTGTTTCATGTAAATGTGCTTATAAGTAGGAATTTAGAGTAAGATGGGGAAATTATATTAAAATTTCTTCGATATGATTTGCTTGCTAAAACTGAAAACTAAATTTCAGAAATTTTCAGGCTACTAAGAAATTTTAATCTTTCCAATAATCAACTTGAAACTTAAAAAAATTTTGAACTTTGATGGTCATCACTATGTAGCCTTTAGAAGAAACAGCTGGCTCACACTGAATTGAATAAATAACATAAAGTTAGTTCTTTTTTGCTTTTCTTCATTACAAGAATACGAATATTTGATGATTTACTGTTTTTAACATACTGATGTCAGTGATGCTACTATTGCATAACTTTGAAGACCAGTAAAACAGCACTTAGCTATAGGTTTCTTGAACTGGACCGGGAACACTGGCTCTAGGAAGCAGAAATGAACACTTTAAGGAGACCATTAAGCGACTAGGAATTACTTTGATCTTATGTCTGATTCTGTGAGTTTGATTCAGTAGTGCACTAACATAACGCTACTGGATTTTTGCTGTGAATTCTGTGTTCTGAGAGGAAACATAAACCATGTTGCCCAGACTAGCTTGTCAGCTTTTTTCCCTATCACTTAAGTATGTACTAAATTGCCTGGTAAAAGTTGTAGCCTGACACTTGGAAAAATGGGGTAACAGAGAATAGAAATAGCAAGGTGAGATTGTAACCTTAGTTGTCTAATGGGTATTCATTTTTAGCTTAAACTAATTTTGACATGTAAGAATCTGTAGAAGCAATTAAGAATTACTCTGACAAAGACAAATTATAAATGCATATAATAGAATCTAGACAGTGCATAAGAGAAAATAAAGTATCTCAGTAAAAATGGCTCAATGATAATGTGTTCCAGTATTAGCTACTGTGTACAAATTTTATACTACCTGAGAGAAGAGTTTGGAGGGACAGCATGTTTAATTTTCTATGAAAGTTTTAAGAATTTGCATGTTTTTATTAGTTAAGTGAAAAAAGTAATTCAATTCAATCATTTATAAAGTGCAGCATTTTACTGTCTTTATGTAAATTTAATTTTGCTTGATTGCTTTCTGAGTTTTCATTTAAGTTCTGGTAAGAGCTAAATAATCTTTGAAACTGCCACTCAAATAGGATATTATACTTCAATTCTCACATTAGGAACTGCCTAAAAGAGTGTTTCTAGTTGCTGAAGTAGCACTTAAAATTAATAGTAATAGGTAAGAAAGACTGAGTTATTTTGGGTCAAAAAATGAATACCTATGAAAATGGTGAAGGACAAGTAAGGACAAAGAATGAAAAATAGTATCCAAAAATGTTGGATTGGGGAGGGTATGGTAAGTGTTGATAAGTTTTACTAGATTCCTAAAATAATACATGAGTAAAATACTCAGCTAAAAGTTTCTATCAGGTGCTGTACTAGGGAGAAAGTTATGAAAGTGGTTATTTTGCTAGTTATGAGAGAAAATGAATTTACTACAAAGCCATGAAAACGGAATATTGTGAATTTAGGCATATTGGAAAGAAAGTTTCTACAGATGACTGTATATAATTATTGAGAAGAAACTTCGATTTCACTTAGACTAGAAACTCTTAAGTAATGGAGAAGTATGTGAAAGAGCAGTTTCTCAACTGTTGACATTTTGGGGATGGATAATTCTTTGCTGTGAGTAGCTCTTCTGTGCATTGTAGGATATTTAGCAGCAACCAGTGGCCTCCCACTAAATGCCTTTAGCCCCCTCACCCCTAGTCTTGACAATCAAAAATGTCTCCCGATGTTGCCAAATGTCCCCTGCAAAATTGCTCCCTGTTTGAGCCCCACTGTATTAAAACAGTGTGCCTACCTGTGGTACCACTTTGAATTCTACACAAGAACAATTAAAGCCAACATACTTTCCTGTTCTGAACCATTATCCTCTTGCATAATGCGGGCTTAAATTGATAGAGTTGTGGTCATGGTTCTCAGGAGTCTAAAATAATTCATTGATGATGATAAAAATGAGTGGTTTTAGTACAAGTCATTGAAGGTGAAACTGAGGATTATAAAATGAATTTTTTTTAAAAGGACTGTGTTCAAAGAGTGTAGTTGCTATCCCATATTGACTATAGTGAATGTTCTTCTCCCTAAAATTAAAATTCAAGAAAGAAATATGAACTGAGTTCTTAAGAACTTAATTCCAAAAATATATTCATTCCATAAATACTTTATTTATAATTGGCAAACATATCAGATTATATAGTTATAAAGTTAAGAAATCTAAAAACCAGCTCATTACTTCATTACATCAAAAAATATAACATAACCTACCCCCACGCTCCCCGCCAAAAAGAGACCCATGTACCTGAATACAGTATGTTAAAACCAAGTGTATAAATACAGTATTATAGCTGGATGTATATTTTCTTTATAAATATGGGCTCTTTTACCTACTGCTTTACAATTTACAGTATTTTGTTTAATTTGATAAACTTTGTCAGATACTTGAATACTTTATAATGGCCTACTGTAATTAATCCTGCAAGTGTTCATTCTGCATGTTTCCTGCTTTCTGTTATTACCAATAATACTGCTATGATTGTTCTTTCTGGTATGTTTCTGATTTTCTTAAAATCTTTCCAAAAAGCAATGTTGCTGCTCAGGGTCCTGATTTGTTTTACCTTACCGCTACCTGGAAAGGTAGAATTAAATATACTCCCATCAGAAGTGTGTAAGAAAGCTGATTTAGCATGCCCCTGCCCTCTTGCCCACAAAAAAAGTCTCCATAATACATTATTAGCATTAAAGTATTTTTCAGAAATTGTGTGTGTATGTGTTAGTGTATGTGTTATGTATATGGTTTAAAAAAATTAACATACAGATGTCATTTGGTCTCTCCCTTCAGGCTTCCCTACCTCTTATCTTTCTCAAAGGTTACCATGGTAAAATGTGTCCTAGGAAAAATGAGTAAACCTGTTTGTGTGTGTGTGTAGGGCAAGAGGTATTGTAAGTTTCTCATAATACTTTTTTTAAAATATATTTTTATTGAAGTATAGTCAGTTTACAATGTGTCAGTTTCTGGTGTACAGCACAATACTTCAGTCATACAGGAACATAATACCTGTATTTGTTTTCATATTCTTCCACCGTAAGTTACAAGATATTGAATATAGTTCCCTGTGCAATACAGTATAAACTAATAATACTTTAAAAATGATTACCTACAGAATTACCAACACCCTTTTGTCTCCGTTGCTTTTTTTCCCACTCAATATTGTTGGAAATAGTTTCATAACGGCACTGATATGCCTCATTTTAAAGAAAAGGCTGCAGTTTTTTTTTGTAGTTGTACTACAGTGTTAATCAGTCTCTTGTTAGTGGATATTTAGTTATTTTTAAAGCAATTAAAACTATCGTTACAATAAAAAATCAGCATCTCTTTTTTTAATTAAAAAATTTTTTTTGGCGGAGGAGGGAGGTAATTAAGTTTATTTTTTAATTAATTTTAGAAGAGGCACTGGGGATTGAACCCAGGACCTCGTGCATGCTAAGCGTGCACTCTACCACTTGAGCTATACCCTCCCCCCTGCATCTTCTCATATTAGTGTTCTATTTTGTTTATTAGTGTAGATGACTGCTTTGTACTACTGGCCATATGTATATCTTTGAATCATCTGATTCTTCTTGGCATTTTTTTCCATTGAGATGCTTTTCTTTCTCAGTGATTTGTGGGAACGTTACATATTTTCAAATGTTTTTATGTTAAGAGGGTGACTGGAATTCCAGCCTCCAGTAATCCCATGAAGATGTGCAAAATGAAATACTTAGTAGGCTAGATTAGTCTTACTAGACTGATTTGCAAAACCTTATAGAATGGTACTTAGCCTGAAAGAAAAATAGGAAACATGCGGTTGAGGGATTAAAAATCGAAAAGGCAGTATTAGTATTACATAGTGGTTAAGAGCTGCACTTTGGCATCACAACTGGGTTTGAGTGATAGCTATGCTACTTACTGGCTCATGTGACTACTGGCAAGTGACTTATGTACTTTCATTTTTTCATTGGCAAAATGGGATTTATATGTTTACAGGAGGGTCAGCAGACCTTTTCTGTAAAGGGCCATGTAGTAAATGTAACCTGCTTTGTGGACAACATGGGAGCTCTGTCAGACTGTTCTTTTCCTTTACAGTTCTTTGAAAATGTAAAAACTCAGTCCTCAACATGGGAGCTCTGTCAGACTGTTCTTTTCCTTTACAGTTCTTTGAAAATGTAAAAACTCAGTCTACAGCGTTACTATAAAGTGCTTCTGTTACGCCTGGTGCATTAAGTGGTAATGAATAGCTTGACTAATTGAAATTTTCTTGTGTTAGGTTAGTATAGGGGCTGCAGACTAGAGCCTCAGTCCAAAATCTTAAATATTTACTATCTGGTGCCCCGGTATGGGTAAAGTTTGCTGAACCTTGAGTTCCTCAGGAAACCAAACTTTTAAGGGGGAAAAAGTAGTTAATTTGTCAGGTGACTAACTTTAATTTGTAAATACTGGTTAGGTAAGATTGAACAGTCTTTGGTTTTGTGGAATGAATGTAACAGGACCAGGGATTATCAGGATTTTCCTTACCAAGATCAATCAGTTGGACTTAACATGGAGAATTTAGGTTCTAGTTTCCTTTTTCTTTCCTTTCCTTTTGTCTTTTATTTCCTTTTTCTTTTCTTTCTTTCACCCAGGACCTCATACATGCTAAGCATGTGTTCCACCAGTTGAGCTGTTTCCCTCCTCACTAGGTTCTAGTTTAACAGCTCTCCTTATTACTTAACAAATAGTAGCATCAGACTTGTGATGAGTCTTTTTAGTTTTGAGGGGCTGCAATTAACATGCCTACCTTTGACTGGAATCTCATGCATATTGCTGGAACTTTAAGAAAGCAAGTAGAGTGTCTCTGGAGAAAGCCCATTATTTCTACATGAAAACTAATTATGGCAGGTAGATCTGAGCTTTAGTTTGGCCACATTGGTTGCCTATGGCCAGTTACTGGATTGTTTGCATGTTTCTGGACACAGCTGTGTGAAAGCAACTTGTTATTAATTTTAATAGCATTTTGAGCCTTTGGTCTGGGCTCTGCTTCCACTCTGTTCTAAAAGGATCCCTATGGCAATAACAGTGGTCCAGCCCACATGATTGGTTCCTTAATTGGGCTTAAGGATGTTCAGATTTGGGATGGCTTGTCTTGCTTAGAACAGTAATTAGCATGTCATAGTTCCAACATAGAAGAATTCCTCTGTATTTTATCTGAAAGTTGTATCTCAGCTGTTAGTTTTTAGCAAACTTCTCTTGTTAAGAGTCTGATTTAGGATTAGTTTCTATGTAATAGTCCTTTCTGAGTACAGTTTTTTTCCCCCCCCCATTATTTAAGATTATATCCCTTAATTTGAACATAGTATTCAAATTTAATGATTCAGACATGGTCCGCTGCATATTTAACAGAAAACAGACAAAGTTAAGTTTCAATTCACTTAGGTTCTAACACATAAAGTGTTGGCTTGTAAAATAAAAAAAAATCCTTTATAAATTATTCCCAACTACAGGAATTGATTTGTAAATTTAAGGGCTAAATTATCCTGAATTAAACAAAATAAAATTTTTGGAGGGGGGTATAATTAGGTTTTATTTACTTATTTATATGGAGGTACTGGGGATTGAACCCAGAACTTCGTGCATGCTGACCACACACTCTACCACTGAGTTATACCCTCCCCCTCATCCTAAACTGTTAATGGGTTAGACGTGAAGGGAAACTGGAGTGTAGAGTCAAATCTAGTGTTCCTACAGGTCTTTGTGCTTCTTACTTTCCCCTTTAAAAAAGGGTGGGAGATGATAAAGCACAAAAAAGTTCATTCCAGAAGGGTGGAGTCTTAATACTCATGCTGCCCAGCGTTGCTCTGGAGGTAGTCAGCCATTTGTGGTGCTTCTGGCATGCTATTAGCATTTTCCTTAGATCCTGTTGCCAAACATACTCTAATATTTGTTAAAATACTCTGACAGCTATTTCCAGAGGGAGGTTTAATAAGGTATTATGGTGTTTAATCCTCTAAATGTAAATGTAATAGAACAAAGCATTCCTGGGGAAAGCATTGGTTACTAGAGCACAACCCAATAGTCCAGAACATAATGTGGCTTTCAGTTTTCTATAAACATCAGCTTTGATAAACTCTTCACTTGTTACTTCTTTCTGTATGCACTTTATTAAATCACAGTGTTGTTTATGAAATTCATGATAAAAATTTGAATGGGAGGCAGAATTTTGGGTTTTGTATAACATTTTCAGCGGCATATGGACATGTATGTGATAGTTAAGAGATCTGCTTATTTTTCACTTAAAGGATTTTAAACTTGAAATATTAAGTAGATTAAAAGTTAAAAGTTGTGTAGAATCTATTAAACTTTTTTTGTATGACATCAGAAGGGACAGTTCCCCTGCCTGTTTTATAGCTTATTTGTATCCTTCCTGAGTTGATGTTTAAATGAACCTATCTATATACTCTGCATTATAGTTTCCATTTTTGCTTAATAACAATAAAAAACCAAAACTGTACACACTGCTGACCAACTTTTTTTCACGTTGTCCTGGTCTGTCTTTCAGGTCAGTGTATCTAGTCTTCCTGCATTCATTTTAATGGCTGCATACTCCACTATTATGGATGTACCATTTCTACAACCAGTCCCCTAGTGATGGACATATGGTTGTGTCGAGTTTTTTGCTAGCACTGTAATAGGTTAGAGGCTGTAATGAATGGTGAGGAAGTAGTCAGAACTGCTACTTCAAAGAAAATAGTAGAGAAGAAACTTCCTTTGCCAGAGTCACTTACTAAATGAAATTTAATAGAAGAAAAAACACTGTCAAAAGTTGAGAGGACCAAAATTGATACTTTTTCTCTGATCTTTTTGCCATGTGTATATCTGAATTCTTTGTTTTTAAAGAAGAAACAGCATTGAAGCATTATTTGGGGGGAAAAACACACACACAAAATCCAGCAACTCAGCATTCATGAGCAACTCTATACTATACCAGTATGTGCCTGTGCAGTGGAAGGAAAACAATTTTGGTAAGGAATTAAAACTTTAGCTTTAAACTTCCAACAGGTTGATATTTATAATGAATGATGAATCAAAAAATTTTAATATTATGTTGACAGTGCCTTTTTTAGTTTTAAAAAAGAAGTCACCATACCTTTGATATCTTTCAGTTTAAACTTTCCCCCTTTTTTCCTTTAAAAAAAAATCTGAATTTGCAGCCAACAAAACTTAGATATATATTAAGGTGTGTATTTCTTCTGACTTTTACTAAAATATCTATTAACATTTTAAAGAGATGTTTATGGGTCGACTTTATCCTTTTCAAGGGGCCAAGTTCACTAATTGCTGAGTTTTATACATATTACAGCAACAGTCCTTTTGTAGGTGTGTGTTGCATCCATCTAGATGCTTTGAGATGCTCATGTACTGTTTTTGAAATAACTTACACACAGGGAATTATCACTGGTAGTTTTTTTTGTCTGTTTTGGTTAAACCTAAATGTATGACATCTGTTACCCTTATTTCTTTAATCTTTTTTCTGCTTTTTGCATTATCTAGGAAATATATCCTGGACAGTTCCAGCCATCTCTCTGTCACAAATTCATAGCCTTGTCAGATATGGAAGGAAAACTTCTTCGCAACTATACTCAGAACATTGATACACTGGAACAGGTTGCAGGAATCCAAAGGATAATTCAATGTCATGGTCAGTAAACTTCAGAATTGCTTTCTATTATTTATTTATTAGTTTTGTAGGAAAAAAATAGAATTTGAAAGTAGGCTGCCATCCAGGAATGGAGATTAAGCCTTATTATTTAATCATATTTATGATTAATTGTTGATTAGTAGAGCCCAAAAAAGGAAATCAGAAAGTATTGGCCTTGACAGTTAACTGTACAAAACATCAAACGTAACGTGCTTTTGTATTTCAAAAGATGTAGCAGTTGCATAACATTACATTCTTTTAAATAATCTCTTTGGATTACAAAAGTAGCTATGGATGAAAAAAATGGCATCTTTAGGAAACCAAAAGAAACTACTGGGTAGTTCAGATGTACAGGATTCAGAAATTTGAAGACTTGATCTAAAACAACTATGAATACACAACCATTTTCTTATGTATCTAAACTGTCTTTAAAACACAGCTCTTAAGCTAAGGTAATATAACAGTAACCTTCAAAATCTGCAGTTCTCGTTCTGGAGGAGTTGGTTTATTAAAAAGAGTAGCTTTAGGAAGCATCAATATATCAATGTCTCTCTTATGAAGGCCTTAGAATTTTTAAATTCTCTAACTTTTTGGTGTCAAACTTTATATATAACCTTTGTGGTATGTTTAAGAAATGGAAAAATTCCTTTAATAAAAGCATATATATTGGTTGTTTTTAGGTTCCTTTGCAACAGCATCTTGCCTAATTTGTAAATATAAAGTTGACTGTGAAGCTGTACGGGGAGATATTTTTAATCAGGTAATTTATTTTAGGAATTGTGCATGTCTCTGATCTGTTTCTTTTTTGGGGGGGTTATTTCTGGTGTTTTATTTATTTTTCACATTTTTTTCTCTGTGATTTATCATAACATTTTGTGTATATTTCCCTGTGCTATACAGTGTAATCTTGTTTATCTATTCTACAATTTTGAAATCCCAGTCTATCCCTTCCCACCCTCTACCCCCCCCCGCCGGTAACCACAAGTCTGTATTCTCTGTCCATGAGTCTATTTCTGTCCTGTATCTATGCTTTGTTTTTGTTTGTTTTTGTTTTTTAGATTCCACATATGAGCGATCTCATATGGTATTTTTCTTTCTCTTTCTGGCTTACTTCACTTAGATCTGATCTGTTTCTTTTGCCTCAATCTTTTTTTTTCCCTTGCAAGTATGTAGTACAGAAACATTCAGGAAGTCAGCATTAGTCACCATTGGGAATTCCAGTGAAATACACAAAAACCTTTTAATACCTTAAATTGAAAACATTGATCCATGCTCTCTCTCAAATGATTAAATTGGTTACTTCATATGTAAGCCTAAAATAAAAACCCAGATCATAAGTTGGGGTTTTATTTAGTTTAGTTTTTCTCCTTACTCTCCCTTTTAGTGCCTGTAAGATTCAGAATCTTAAATGAGTTGTGATGTAAAATTTAAAAAAAAATTATATTACAGTTTTTGAAGATTTATTATTAATTAGGTTTAATCATTTAATTTTAGAGAAGGTACTGGGTATTGAATCCAGCTCTACCACTTGAGCTATATACCCTCCTCCCTTAAAATTAAAAAAAATTCCTGCATGAAGTATTTTGTACAAAGTATTGTACGCTGCGAAAAAAAATTTACAGGAAAATATGGCAGAGAATAAAAAACATCCAGAAATAAATTCCTTGTGGTTAGTCACACATCTAATTAATCATGTATAATTATTAGAGAAAGATGGCATCACTGTATTTTACAAACTTATTTTTTAAAGGATTAGTTGTGTGTGTACGTACATATATACATATGCTGGTTTTTCCTTTTAATATATAACAAACTATTGAATATCAGATGTAGGTCTATACAGATATAATAGCAGCACAGATAATAGCAAAATTTATTTCATTTTATGTTAACAAATTAATGGTTCATTGATAGTTGATGTTGTTTAGGTTTTATCCAGTTTTCCCTGCTATTTATCCACAGCTTTTCTATTTTCTTTGATAATTTTGAAATGCATTCTTGGGAAGTGTGGAAATGTTGACTATTTCTAACTTGGGCCTTCTCTTTCCCACCTCATCCACAATCTGGAACATGCAGGTGGTTCCTCGATGTCCTAGGTGCCCAGATGATGAGCCACTTGCTATCATGAAACCAGAGATTGTCTTTTTTGGTGAAAATTTACCAGAACAGTTTCACAGAGCCATGAAGTATGACAAAGATGAAGTTGATCTTCTCATTGTTATTGGGTCTTCCCTGAAAGTAAGACCAGTAGCACTAATTCCAAGTAAGTTGGTGATGGTTTTTAGAGAACCATTTCTGTATATATTGCCATGGGTTGTGGGTCTGTAGAGTAGACCCCAGTGACCTTGCTGTTTCTTGTTAAAGGGGGAAAGGGAAATAGCTCAGTGGTAGAATATGGGCTTAGCATGCTTGAGGTCCTGGGTTTATTTAATCCCCAGTACCTCCATTAAAAAAAAAAAATCTTGTTAAAGAGTGGTGAAGAGCCAAACTATTTTTCTTTAGGTGACATTCTTGTTCATGAAGATTGGTTTATCTCACATTTCATTGGGGGCTAGGTGGGTGATACTACTTTCAAAACAGAAGTAAATATAAAATTATACTGTATATAAAACTTAAGACAGTGGGAAACAGTTCAACCTAAACTTTTCAATGGAATGTGTTTTTAATGTGGCAGAAGTTAACATCAACTAAGTTATATACAGTTAAGAAACAGTAGAATAAAAATATCTGTGTTTTTAATCTTTCTTTGAATATAGCTGCTGATCTTCAAATTTAATTGATTTTTGGTCCAGTAAATTCAGATGTATAGCTTGATAGGTGTATAATGTACTCATGTAAGATAGAATTTCGGAGTTCACAACGTTTGGTTTGTTTTTGTAAAAATAACAATGCCTTGTTATAATCATTGTATGTAGATCAGCTCTACCCATAAGGGTGTTTGTGCATATAAAAATGCTCAATTTGAATCCCTGATGCTCTCAGGAATATTTCTTTAACCCGTGCTCCTGTACTTCTTTTCCCTCCCTCAGTGAGCAAACAGGGAAAGGGAGATAGAGGGACTGATTTCAGTAGATCAGTTGTGCCCTAAAAAGTGAGGGAAGAAAGAAAGCAGAGAATATCAAACCCTTAACTAGAGAATTAAATTAGACTCCTACACCAGCAAATAGGCAGCCAGGGTCAACCACTGGAAGAAACAAGGAGTTACGTCTCCAATTCGGCATGTTTCCTATCTGACATGTAGTGGTTTTAGCAGTTTAATTCGATCTTCCCTAAATAGCTGTGAAATTTTATTAAAGTAGAATATAGGACAGTTTTTAACTAAACAGAATTTGAAAATTTAATGTATAAGCTTTTTTATTTTTTGAGGTTTTTTTTTCCTCTTTAAAGGCAGAGAAGTGTTAAGTTTTCTGTGGGGTAGTATAATAGTGATAGGCAAAGGTTCTTTTTTTTAAAACAAGTAAGACACTGGTGTATGATAGTGGAAAGTAGACTTGTATGAAGTTTTACATTTTATATTGGGAGCCGTTCAGAATAACTATCACCTCCTTTGTGCCAAGAACTGTATTAACTCACTCAATCCTCCCTGCGAGCTTGTGCAAAAGTAGTTATTATCCCCATTATACACACTAGGAATTGAGGTACAGAATGGAAAAGATGATTACTCAGAGGCAAGCAAATAGGTGACAGGAGCAGAAACTGAAATTCTGAAAGATGTTTAACTGTTCATCTGTTTACTTGATAGCTTGATGATATGTAATAGCTTGGTTATGTATTAGTGGCAGGTTTTTTTTCATATCGGGAGCATGTTAGATTTTCATGTGGTGTATTTGTTTTGCCTTTATTAGGGTACCTCCCTTCCTTTCTCTAACTTATTTTTTCACTCTACTTTTAGGTTCCATACCCCATGAAGTGCCTCAGATACTAATTAATAGGGAACCTTTGCCTCACCTGCATTTTGATGTAGAGCTTCTTGGAGACTGTGATGTCATTATTAATGAATTGTGTCATAGGTTAGGTGGTGAATATGCCAAACTTTGCTGCAACCCTGTAAAGCTTTCAGAAATTACTGAAAAACCTCCACGACCACAAAAAGAGTTGGCTCATTTGTCAGAGTTGCCACCCACACCTCTCAATATTTCAGAAGACTCTAGTTCACCAGAAAGAACTCCACCACCAGATTCTTCAGTGATTGTCACTCTTTTAAACCAAGCAACAAATAATGTTGATGACCCAGGTGTGTCTGAATCGAAAGACGGTGTAGAAGAAAAATTACAGGAAGTACAGACTTCTAGGAGCATTGAAAGTGTTAATGAACAGATGGAGAATCCGGATTTGAAGAATGTTGTCTCCAGTACTGGGGAGAAAAATGAGAGAACTTCAGTTGCTGAAACAGTGAGAAAATGCTGGCCAGCTAGACTTGTAAAGGAGCAGATTAGTAAACGGCTTGATGGTAAGAAAGGCTGTTGAACCATTTTGAAGGTATAATTATGGTAACAAAATATTTTCAAGAAATGAGGAATTTTGGCAGGTTATTTAGTGTAATTTTATGCAGCTAAATGTAACAATTGTGTTTAGAGAAACTGTGGAGTTGAAATTTTAAGCTAGAGGTAGATAAATGGGTATCTTTTGTAATATGGGGAAGAAATGGTGTGTTAAAGTATGCTTTGCACCTTGTGTTTCTTTAGGGAAGGAGAAGGTAAGCATTAAATTAGGAAATACTGAATGCTCTGTCATTGTCTGGTGAGAGCTTTAAGTTGGTAGAACCAATTGAGATTTGGGTCAGTGGCATTTTATTTTGATTTTAATCTCATGAAGTAGAATCTATTATCTGGTACAGGTGGGAAACTGAGGAGCATAGAAAGAGGGTAAGTACCCTATGCAAGGTAACAACTTAGGGTGTGGATGAACCAGGGTGGATTCCAGGTTCTCTTACCCATTATTTTGTGTTGTCTCAGATCTAAAAAACATCTGACTCCTCCGGAGTATCAGAAATAGCAACTGCCCTGTTTTGACACATGGAAAGTCTTTACCAGTTAGTATTAACATAGGTGAAATCACTTCCTACTTTTTGAAACCCTTATGTCCAAGTAGTATCTATGGTGAAAAATCCTAATTTAATTAAAGCAGTAATGTGGGCTCATTAACTTAGATGCAACAATAGTGTACAGCTTAAAATATTAAGTCCCATTCCATTTACCATATGTAGTGAAAAACTGAGAAATTTGGGACAAATTATTAAGTATTCTAATCATTTGCTGTAAATAAATTTCAGTTCAGCTGAATAAATGTTTGGGCCTTTTCCATAGTAGGCAGTGTAGCAAGTTCTGGAGACCCTGATCAAGCTACTGATGTTTGTGTATAATTACAAAAATAGGTGAATGAAGAAGTTGGTGATATTTTAAAAGGTAGATGCTACTTAGAGGGGACTGGGTTATAGAAGGTTTTCTAAAAACCTAAGTTCTGACTTGGGTCTTGAACTATATATAAATAGGAGATGTCTTTTGTGTGGGAAACTAGAAAAATACTTGCATAGAATACTTGCAAATGTGGTAAGAGTCAGAAACAGAAAAATTACTGTTGACTGTATCCGGTAAAGGAAGTTTCTATCATACGCAAGAGTCTGCCTACCTACTGGGGATATTCATTGGCTGTCTTTGTGACAGATGAGTCAAATATATAAAACTCTGCCCCAGGAAAGAAAGATTAGACCTAGAGTAGTGTCTTAGAGTAAAACCAAGGCGTAATACCAAACAATTTAGGCCTTTAAAGATACAGGCTTTGAAATTAGACTGAGTTAATTCACATCTACCTCTCCCATAGCATTGTGAGCATTTAAAAAGATAACTAATTCAGAGTGTAAAACTTAACATTTTTAGCTGTTACAGCTATTATTTTTGTTGTGAGGTCAAGTCTGAAAAGGAGAAAGTTGGAGTATATAATAATAGGAAGTAAATTTTAAATGTCTTGATGGTTGCCAAGAGGGCAAAAACAGACAGGTACAGGATACAGATGTTGGGAAAGGTCAATATCATTGCTTCTCACACTTAAATGAAATGTTATAAGACTCTCATAAAAGCAGGTTCCAATTCAGAGGTTGTGTGGTAGGCCCTTCTGTGTGGTGGGCTGGATACTTAATTTCATCTCATCAGATCTGTTCAAGGAGTTCGTTAATAACTAAACTTCATTGAACATGACTCTCTACATTTATTCATACTTACCTCATAGGGTTGTGAAAATTACTTCATTTTCCAGCTGAGGAAGTTGAGTCTCATAGAGAACTCAAAATTTACAGAGTTGGTGAGTGGCAGAACTAAGATCCGCAGCCAGGAATGAGGTAGTCTATAGCTTGCCTTTGAGAAACTCTGTAATAGCCTCTAGTAATGATACTTAGGTAAAAGAACTAGAACCTAAGCTTATTCCAGACAGCCTGGTCAGGCCAAGTTAGTCTTAGAAACCTGGAAATAACCTATTTTTATTACTGTATTTTAGGTAATCAATATCTGTTTTTACCACCAAACCGTTACATTTTCCATGGCGCTGAGGTATATTCAGACTCTGAAGATGACGTCTTATCCTCTAGTTCTTGTGGCAGTAACAGTGATAGTGGAACATGCCAGAGTCCAAGTTTAGAAGAACCCATGGAGGATGAAAGTGAGATTGAAGAATTTTACAATGGTTTGGAAGATAATGCTGATGGTAATGAGAGAGCTGGAGAAACTGGATTTGGAGCTGATGGAGGTGATGAAGAGGCAGTTAATGAAGCTATATCCAATGAAGCTACTATATCCATGAAACAGGAAGCAGCAGGCATTAACTATCCATCAAACAAATCATAATGTAATAATTGTCCAGGTACAGGAATTGTTCCACCAGCATTAGGAACTTTAGCATGTTAAAATGAATGTTTACTTGTGAACTCTAGAGCAATGAAACCAGAAAGGTGTAATATTTATAGACTGGTAAAACAGACTTTTTTTTTTCCCTGTGGGGTAATTTTTAACTTCCTTATTTCTGTGCTTATACAAACACTAACTCTTTTTATTTTTTAATTTAAGAAAGGTACTAAGTATCTTTAAATAGCTGTTGGATAAGATTTTCTTTTAAAGGTTCATTTGTATGATACATCTGTATGTATAATTTTGTTTTTGCCTAGTGAGTTTCAACATTTTGAAGTTTTCAAAAAGCCATTGGAATGTTAAATTAATGTAAAGGGAACAGCTTATCTAGACCAAAGAATGGTATTTTCACATTTTTCTTTCTAACATTGAATGGTTTGAAATCCTCAAATCTCTGTTCTGCTAAACTTTTGATTCTTTATTAGCACAATTATCTATTTTTAAACACTGGCATTTTCCAAAACTTGTGGCAGCTAACTTTTTAAAAATCTCATGACATGCAATGTGATTAGAAGGAAGTCAACAATATGTGGGAGAGCACTCGGTTGTCTTTGCTTTTTAAAGTGAGACTTGGTGCTAACAGTTTTAGGAATATTGTTCAAATGAAGATGGCTTTTGTACTTCCTGTGGACATGTAGTAATGTCTATATTGGCTCATAAAACTAACCTAAAAAACAAATAAATGCTTTGGAAATATTTCAATTGCTTTAGAGACAATAGTGCCTGCCTGGGTCCCCTTAGTTTTGAGAATATTTGCCATTGTTGTTTAAATACCTGTCACTGTGGTAGAACTTTCATTGATTCTTTTCCACAAGTATTAAACTGCCAAGATGTGAATTTGCAAAGCCTTTATGAATCAATAATAATGATACTTCAACTAAGGGGAGTGTAGTATTTTGGACCGTTGCACCCCTCCCCCATTAATGAGAGCAACAGGTCCCTGATTACAGTTCCAAAGTAGTAAGATGTTAATTATAACTCAGCCAGTAAAGTAAGTACATGTCTCCTGTTGGGAGGATTTGGTATAATAAACACCAAACTACTAGCCTAGTATTACGGAGATGAACGTGATGTAACTTACAATAGCAGGATAGTTAATGAAACTAGTTCCTATGACGTGTCTTTATTTAAAAGCTTAGCCTGCCTTAAAACTAGAGACAGCTCTCTCAGTGCAGAAGCTTCTAGCCTTTCAAAAAAGTTCCTACTTTATATAAAATTGCACATTGAGCATTTATTTCCCAGACCTTTCCCCAACAGTACTTCCAGATAAAGTATTCCTATGTTGCTTTAGTATTTATTACAACTTAAAAAAAGTTTGAAATATAGCTGTTCTTTTAAGTGTATAAAATACCCAGCTAGGACCATTACTGCCAGAGAAAAGTTCTGAATGGCCATTTCCCTACCTAAAAGATGTCTCAGTCTGAATTTATTTGGCTACACTAAAGAATGCAGTATATTTAGTTTTCCATTTGCATGATGTGTGTTTGTGCTATAGATGATATTTTAAATTGAAAATTTTGTTTTAAATTATTTTTACAGTGAAGACTGTTCTCAGCTCTTTTTATATTGTACATAGTCTTTTATGTAATCTACTGGCATATGTTTTGTAGACTGTTCAATGACTGGATATCTTCCTCCAACTTTTGAAATACAAAACCAGTGTTTTATACTTGTACACTGTTTTAAAGTCTATTAAAATTGTCATTTGACTTTTTTCCTGTTAACTTACATTCTTTAAGGTATAAAATTTTAAAAATCTGCAGAATTTGTACAGCCTTTAGGGCTTAGATGCTCTCTTCTAATACAATATTTCTTATTCAATTTATAAGTCTCAGCACAACGGTACTTGAACACTGAAGAGTGCTGGTTGTAGCAATCAGTGCATCACCAAACATTCAAAACTAGTATTTCAATCAGTCTAGGCCAGAGGCCTTAGGCCTTGCCTGCCTTTCTCCCTCATTCTACTCTGCCATATGAAAGGAAAGATTAGACAAAGGATTGGGGGGGGTAGAGGGACAGCAGAGAATGGCACAACTGTAGTGAACTTTAGTGAACTTTAGACTTTGAAGCTAAATAGGAGAAGACAAAAAAACGACATTTGGTATAACCTCCTATAAACCTGCTATTCAAAAAAATGCCCTGCTCTCAGGTCTCTTGCCTTCCAAGTCAGGTAGTTCATATCCTAAAAAGGAGGGTGTGTAGTCATTTTAAGTAGTCAAATACGTGGCAAGACCTGATTTAATTAAAGCACCTAGTCAGTGCTATTTTTACTCCCTTTGGTTAATGCACCATATAGTATATTCCACTGATGCAATTAATGGCACATGGTTTAGTTAGCATCTCCCTTAGTGGTACATAAGGTGATATATACCCACCTGCTGAAACAGGTCTCCACTCCTACACTTGTAATCTAGAAGTATGTATATGTACATGAAAACTTCTACCCCTCCTTAAAACATGAACAAAGTTGGCCTTAAACTAAAGCTAGGATGCTAGCAGAAATATGGAGAAATGGTCACTTGGGAAGTTTTTGAAAGTTCAAGTAACCTGCGCATCGCCGCTAAGAGGTAACATTTAATTGGCCTAAAGTGGGGCTTGTGCATAGTATTAAAAAGTAGCCCCAGGTGATAAAGTCTGTTAAGAACTGAGAAGGGAAAGGAATAGGGGGGGGTTCCCTTCTGCACTTAACGCATCATTCCTAGGGGCTGGACTAACAGAAACGGACTAACCAATTTATCTCTAGAAATATAACCAGTTTAAGAATGGGAAGCTACTGAAAGAGTGAATTACTCAGAAAGGAAAAACTATCATCAGTTTTAGAGGCTTCAGAAGAGGTTGGAGATCGGGAAGAAGCTGAGAATAGGGTAATTTGCCCCTGCTTTCTGAGAACTCGCCATGTTTTCCCAGGGAACACTGCCCTATGTGCATATTACAAAATCAAAAGACTTTTTGAATCAGAAGACTTAAATGCAGTAAAAATCAGTAAGGCAGGCAAAAAAAACCTGTCAGTAAAAATTAATCCTAATGGATAGTGGCCCCTATGTAAGGCTGGGGCTCTTAGAATGCAGTTTTAAAAACTCCGTTCTGGTTTTATTTCATGCCAATTTAAAGACATGTCTTGGATCTACTATCTTTTCAATCAGTCTGAACAACGGCTATTGGTTAAAATTACTACTGACTTAAGACAGGGAGGCTAAAAACAGGTTGCTCTTACATATTAGGCCTATCTGGAGGCCAAATACTCTCAAAAGTTTAGCCAACTCAATAATCATGGTCCTTATAATTTAGTGAACTCAGTATCTGCCAACTATAAAGCTCGATATTTTTGTTACTACTTAAAAAGCAAATGGAAATTTTAAAAATCTTCAGTGGTATTATTTTAATTTCCTACCATGAATCTCCCTGCTGTTAATTCTACTGTATGTCTGCAGCAACAGAGGGAGGAAAAGAATATCAGACTTACCCACAATTATGCCTTGTACTGTTGTGTTCCCAGATAAGGTGTCAGCCCTTGTTAAAATACTTATTCAACGAACTCCATGTGAATTAATCCAAAGTGGCTGCTATTTCACAGATGAGCTTCATAGCATACAGGTTACTAAAAAAAAAAAAAAGCATCTACCTGTTTTTGATGTGAACAATCACTATCCTCAGGGAATGGATGTGCAGGGAAACAAACAAGGAAGAATTTTCATTGGGAAAAATGATACTTTGTGAAAAATTATTAGGGCTTCTATCTAAAAAAACAGCTATGGTTCGCCAGAAGTTTTTAAGTTAAACTACTGAAAAGTACAGGTTCACAATCCCTTCTCCAAAACCCTTGGCCTCATTTGCATTTTGGAATTATGAATGTTAAGGACTTTTTTAAGCACACATCATGAGGCACCCCATAGAAGCCTGAAGCAGCACCTAGATCAAACACAGTAACTAATCAAATATCAACATTACCACAGTAAAATGTATGAACAGTCCCATTTAGCCCCACTTAATACCACAAGTAGCCTCAATTCAGGTCAGGTCTTGCTGCAAAATTACATATGCAAATTTTTTCCAGAGATGTTTTAAATTCTAGAATTATAGACCTCTAAAAATGGATGAATTTGTATGGGAATGGGAACAATCAATCCAAAATTTAAGACACCTTCCCTGAGACATTATTTTGAATCTTATATGAGAACCAATGAAAGTTTAAATATTAAACCAATAAATCTTTATTATTTAAACACTTTTCACGGCATTTTTAAAATAAATTTAAAAAATAAATATTTGCATTAAAGCAGAAAGTCACATGTGTTGCATCAACTCACTGTTACAATTTAATGACCGGAGATAACTAAGCATCAGCACCATAAAACTGTTAAGATTTGTTTCTTAAAATTCAAGGAAAGTTCTAAAGCACTGAAAATTCAGATTAAATACCAACCTGCAGCATCAGTAGTTTTAAAAGCTATAACCCAGTGACTGGTTCTCATAGTAGCCAATGATTGTATTCCTGGCAGCTGTACGACAAAGTTCTTCCATTACTAAATATTAAGCTTTCCGATAACTGTCCATTTATCAACAGCATCTCAAGATTCACAAAAGGAAAGAACTACAAGTTATTTAGATAACTCCTATTTGTAATTTAGATTTGCACAAGGACATTTATTCTAGCAAAAAAGCAAAGATCGTGTTTTCACCATGCTAACTTTTTGCTTTTATAGATCTAGAGTAAGAATAAAATCATTAAATTTTTAACCCCTGAAAGTCAGTTCAGTTCAGTTCAATTCAGTTCAATTACAACCATAGAAACTGTATGGTATCAGAACATAACTATTTTATTACAAAACTTAACATTATTTACAAAATGAAAAAATAATTGAATGACTACTGCAGGCCAAAGTTAAAGGTTTTTCACCCAGTGAGTGAAGAAAAATTAAGCAACATTTCCATGCACTCACACACCAGATCATTTGTGAAATATTCAAACTCTTAAAATTCATGTTAGTAAAACTTCAATGTATTCACAATACTTCTAGGTTTATTGGAAGATGGCAAAAAAAAAATCCATGGTTCTGTACAATAAGTTTAATATTAACACAGCTTGTTCATTTCCTTTAATATTTTTTGGCTTTCATGAATACTCACTGCATCGAACATTTTGCAAGTTAAGAATTATAATAGTACCTCTGTCACCTTGCTGAATTCATCACCACAAGAAAAAACACAAATAATTAGTTTAATGCTTCTGCAATAAACTGAATAATTATAACTATAAAGTTATATTAAACTGAAGCCTTCATTGTGATCAATAGCTTGGATCAGTTTAGAGCGTAGAGTTTCTTTGTCTGTATATTTTGGAAGATCCAGAAGATTAAAACAGGTATGGGAAACTGGGAGATACTCCTCACCACCTCCTGTTGACTGGATGACTAGTATTAGACTCTTCATACCAAGAATAGGAATGCGATCACTACCTGTCAAAAATACTGCCAAGAAAAAAGTTGTTTAGCCAACTACTTTCATCAAAACAACAGTAACTTGGTGTAGAGCACCAAGCGAAGCACAGTCAGCACAGCAAACAGCCTTCCGTTAACATTTGCTCTAACGTGGAAGCCTATCCCCAGAATCTGTGCAAGCATGACTTTTAGACACATACTAATTACACATCCAAACAATGTTTTTCTTTAAAAGTGTAATCTTAATATTAGTACCCAGGAGATGCTTAAGACATGTTTGAGGAATGAAAGACTACTGTCCCCGACAAAAACATTCTGGGAGCCCTTCTTTTGGAAAAGAATAGCCATATGGAACTAGTTTATGAGTCAAATACAAAACACAGTTTTAATGATGATTCCTTTTTCTATTTCTCTTGTTTCTGTCATTTAAAAATAAAATTTGTAATGGGCAGCCAAAACTCAAATTGCTTAAGAATGACTTGTCATCCTTATGATATGCAAAATAGACATACAGAGATTAATTATAAATAACAGAAGTCCTAGAATAGAAAAGTTATGTTTCCCACACAAATTTCATGCAGAAGCAGAGAGAAAAGGAAAATGAAGACTGAACACAGAAAAGAGCTATACTGGAGATCTTTTTAGGAATTCTAAAAGGAATTACAACTCTAGTTTATTGTAATCAGTGTTATAATTTGTTTTCATTTGAAAGAACCAATTCTATTTTGGAAGCAAACTGAATTTAGTTTTCAAAATAAGAAAACACATGTAACAAAAAGTGCAGATTTAAAAAAATTATTCTAATTGAAAATTAAAAACGGGATCTTGGAATAATAATATAAGAAAAAAACCTTATTCACCAAAGTGAATCAAGTAATCTCCTTTAATAATTAGATTCCATTCTCATGAAACACAGAATTATAAATACTTACACAAAAATTGTTTTTTCTTTTCCAATGGTAATTCATGAAATACTTCCCAAAACATTTTTATTGTAGGATGTTCTGCCCAGTACTCTCCTTTGTATTCTGTATTCTAAAAACAGCATAATCTTTTATTAATATTGAAAGATATTAGTTTTGTCTTGAATCTTACAAATTGGCTTCCTCACCACATTAAACTAACATTTTCCAGTAGTTTGAAAGTCATGTGATTCTTTCAATTACCTTCTACCTCCAAGGCATTTTGCAATTTAGACTACTGGTTTCAGGGAAAGGAAAGGGGGAGAAAATATGTATGAATCAGCAGAAATCTCTTCCCTCCACTTCAAAGAACATGATTAGGATTGTAATGCCATCTTCAAAAGTAAACATTAAAGGTTAAACCAGAATTACTAAAATGTTAACAGATTATTAAAGTTCAACATGGAATTAATTATCTGTGATAATCATAAAATTTTCTTTTATCCTAAATTGATGAATAGAAGTCAAACTAGTTACTTTATTCCATCTTCCCTTGAAAAAAAGGAAAACGTTCTAAGAGCAACACTATGGTAGTTTCCAAATGGCCCCCAAAGATCTCTGCCTCCTGCTATTCATGCATTTATGTAGACCCTTCCCATGTTGAATAGGCCTGACCTTTAACTATTAGGATATTGCAGATATGAGAATACATCATTTCTGAGATTAGATCGTAAAAACTTCTGTGGCTTTAGCCTCCTCTTGATCACTCACTCTGGGGTCAGCCAGCTACCATTTCATAAGGACACTCAAACAGCTCTATGGAGAGGTCCTCAAGGTGAGACTCTGAGGCCTCTAGCCAACAGCCACGTAAGTGAGCCATCTTGGCAAAGAAATTCTATCCTTAATCAAGTCTTCAGATGAGTAAAAGCACCAGTCAATATTTTGACTGCAACCTCATGAGAGACTGCTGAGCTAAAACCACCCAAGCTAAACCACTCCTGAATTCCTGACCCACAAAAACTGTGAGACAATGAATATTCACTGCTATCCTTTTTTCTTGGGGCGGGGGTGAGGTAATGTTTATTTATTTATATTCTTAGAGGAGGTACTGGGGATTGAACCCAGGAATTTATGCATGCGAAGCATGTGCTCTACCACTTGAGATATACCCTTTTCCCTCACTGTTATCTTTAAGTCACTATGCTTTGGGGTAATTTGTAACAACAGAAGCAATACACTTCCCCTTTAAAAAATATTAGCACTAAGAGAAAAGGGAGGTAGGAAGGAAAGAGGACTTAAGTCTACACTGTATTCTTTAAAATACAGCCATAGTTGGCCTTAACTTTTAGTTCTTAGCAAAAACCTAACATCAGGGACTTTGGACACACTATTTCCTTAGCATAGACCACTTAGACACATCCTCCTCCTTTCTTTATCGGGCTTATTTCTATTTATCCTTTAGGGCTCAGATTAAATGTGACCTAATTTATTCATTGATCCATTCAATAAATATATAATGAGCTTTAGTCAAAGTTTGGGGCCCTTGGGAAACTGCAGTGAACAAAGTCCTTACTTTCCTGGTGGAGATTACTACCTAGTGAGATGCTTTCCCAGTCTGTGTAGCCTAGTTTAGGTTTCTCCTTATAAACCATTCACTAAACCCTCTTATATTCATCACAGTTCAATTATTTAATATCTAGCTTCCTTACTGGAGGACAAAGACCATGTCTCAATCTTACTGCTGTCTTCCTAATCTCTTGCATAGTATTGGGCATCCAGTAGGGGCCCAATGAATATTTGCTTGCGAGCTTCTTGAACTTTGGGCTCTATTTGTAGCCACAATTATCTCAATGACTGAACCCTTGAAAACCACAATGTATTTGCTATTAATTTACAAACAGGTTTGGAAAAAATTGTTTGATTACAGTAATCAGTTAATGCATTAACTTGTTTGAATTAAAGTCACTAAGCATGTTGGGGGAAATGAAAGGAGGGTGGCTATAGATTTTTTTTTTTCCTAAATGGTTTTGGGGAAATGTGTAGATAGTCCTGATGAAGAAGAGCATTTAAAGTCACAAATCCTAATCACTGAAATTATAATGAATTAAATATATATAGTGGAAGAAACCAAACTATATTAAATACATTAAAATATGCTTAAACTGCCCTGTCTTACTGAATGAACACTTCTATCACTTATAGCTTCAGGCAAGGTTTTAAGTACTTGCTGAGTGCCCTTCTATGCTCTGGGATAAGAGTGAACAAAAACAAAAATCCTGCGTTTATGGTGCTTACATGGTAGTGGGGGGAAGAAGGGGTGGCAGATAATAAAGACAATTAAGTAAAATATTATTTAGCTAAATTCAAAGGAAAATTTAAAAAGCAGAGAAGGGAAATGGGGGTTCATGTGTACACACACGCAATTTTAGTTAATTTATCCAGTGAAGGTCTCTGAGAAGATATAAAGACATGAAATGAGAGCAAGAAACATTTGGAATTACCAAGGTGAAGAGAATTCCAGCCACAACAGGAATAGAAAGGGAACAGGAAATAGAAAGGGAACAGGAAATAGAAAGGCCACAAGACTGGAGGGTTCTGGGCTCAGCAAAGAAGACAATAAGGCTGAAGCAGAGTGAGAGGAAGAATGAGAGATGAGGCAAGAAGGACAAACTGTGTAGGATCTAAAGTGTGATGAGAGGCCATTACATCATTTTTCATTTTAGAGTGATTGGAGGTAGAGTCCATTTCCACTGGGGTATCCTTAGAGTCAGTACAGCTTTCTTCTCTTCAGCAGATCAACTGATCCCCCAAAGAAATCTTCAATCTCCTTCCTGGAGGATTCAATCTCCTTCCTGGAGCTTTCTGAAAGCCAGCCTCAGTTCTCCCTCTTTTCCCAGGTTGTAAAGCCTCTGTCCAGACTTGTGTTTTGCTGGGTAGGACAGTGGATATGAGAGGTCTAAAAATTCTTTAAATTAGCTTTGAAGTAATTCCATGCCCAACCCTGTATCCTTCTGCCATTACAGTAACACTATGTGCCAATTCCTGAGCCTTTCAGAGATTCTACAGTGTGAAATGGGTTGCCTCTCGACAATCCTTTCCCTCTGGAGGCTTGGAATTCATTTTTCTTTGCTCTAAATCACTCATCAACTCATCTACCTATTTTTCATCTTCCAAAACTTTTTTCTCTTGCTCACTGTATTTTTTTGGAGGAGTCTACTCCTATTTTAATTCCTTGTCACTGAGATTTTGGGAGGCAGTCGAGATAAGCATGTTTATTTCACTATGTTTAACCAGAGTCCTTATACACACACACACACACACATATATACATACACACATGTACATCTAAAAAAAAATGGATGTACTGGGGATTGAACCCAGGACTTCATGCAGGCTAAGCACATGCTCTACCACTGACCTATTACCCTCCCCCACTAATATTTTTTAAATTTAAAAACTTTATTTCCTGAATTATTACAGTAAAATTGACTTTTTCTGATGTGTGTACAGTTCTATGAGTTTTAAACACATGTCACAGATTCCTATAAGCACCAACACAATCAGGATACTGAATAGTTCTACCACTCCAAAGAACTCTCTTGTGCTATCCCTTTGCAGGCACACACTCCCTCCATCTCTAGCCCCTGTTCACAGTAGTTCTGTCTTTTCAAGAATGTCACATAAATGGAATTATATGGTATGTAATCCTTTGAGACTGGCTTCTTCACTCAGCATAAGGACTGTCATCTCACGTGTTGCACATATCAATAGTGCATTTCGTTTTATCAAGCAGTAGTAGCCTACTGTATGGATATACCATAGTTGGTTTATCCATTCACACAGTGAAGGACACCTGGGTTGCTTCCAGGTTTTGACTTGCTTGCAGATTTTTTAAAAACATAAATTTTTAAAACTTGTGGTAAAATACACCTAACCTGAAGCCTATCATTGTCTTAAAATTCTTTTTAGGAGTACAGTTTGTTGCATTAAATGCATTCACACTGTTATGCAACCATCACCACTATCCATCTCCAGAATTCTTTTCATCTTGCAAAATGGAAACCATGCATCCATTAAAAACTAACCCCCCCCTCCCCCAGGTTTATAGGTTTGTGTGTAAACATAATATTGAGGAGTGAAACTGCTAGGTCACGTAGTAAGTGTATGTTTAACTTTATTAAAAAAAAGTCAAACTGTTTGCAAAGTGGCTATATCATTTGTATTCCCAGCAGCAATGTATGAGAGTTCCCAATGCTCTGTATCCTTGTTACACCTAGTATTGTGTCTTCTTAGGTTAGCCAATTTAATAGGTACGTACTACAGAACTATTAATACAAAAATTTTATCAGAGGTTGCTAGATTACAAAGATGGAAAAGTTTACAGGCCAGCCCTGCATACATTTTTCTCAAAGCTGATCTAACCAACCACTTTTTATTAAATATTTATATTTACTTGAAGAAATCTGAGAATTACTTGTATAGAAAAGAAGGAAAAAAAAAAGTTGATTAAAATAGTCCCAATCTTCTCCCTAAAGTTTCCTGTATTTCTGTTAAGGCACGCGTAATGAAGGTCACGAATATTATTTATTCTCTGCTAAAAAATTTAACATTGGGGCTAATCAGAAAAAAAGAAAACAAAGATCTTAAGTATTGTGAGCGCTTTTCATTATGTTTTTCCTAGGATCGAGGCAGAATGAAAACCCATTCAGTTTTAGCTGGGCTTCTCTCTAGCCTGTCATAGACATTTTTTTGCATAAATACCACCAATACTACAGGTATAAAAGGCTATCTAATCCATACATAATTAAAATTCATTCAATGTGGAGTAAAAAGGGTACAGTATTTTCCTATAAAAATGATAGTAATAAACAGTGTAAAATGGAAAACAATAAAGGAGAGGGCAACAAGCTGTTTTCCTCTTGCCTTGCCATTTACATATCATATATTTGGTTTTTTCCTACCTTTTCCAGTTCCTTCCAATCATAATTTGTATTTCCGATAACCATTGCTTGTAGTTCATTAGGCTGGAAGAGCTGAAGGACCTTCCCTCCACAGACCTTATGAAAGCCCGCATGAAAAGCATCAAATAAGGAAGCCACAGATTTATTGAATATGTAATCCACATAAGCATCAACAAACTCCTGCCTAGAAACAAAAATGCACACATGCACAGAAGATAAAAATCATTTTTTATGGAGAATACATATTGTAGTCCTAATAAAACTTTGAGTGCTGCTGTACTTTTTGCTATTTATCTACAAAACTGAGAAAGTATGAATAGGGTTCAAAGGGGTGAAGTCTTTATGGAGAAGTCTATTATTCTTTCTATACAAAAGTCCAGTATATCTTTGAGGCATGTAGACAATCTCTCATTCACAGCCATTCCTAGGCTATTTCTAAGTAAAAGATTTTATTTCCTAGTGGGAAGAACAATGATACAAATGGCTATCAAAACGCTTATAAAAAATTCACAAATGATTGACAACTTATATATACCACTCCACATGCATCCCTAAGAAGAGTGATCTGTTAAAAAAAAAATTCTAGATGATTAAAAAATAAGAGCTTTTGGATTCAGTATCTGATAGACTACAGTCTGTTTTCCTCTGGGTATCAAGGAATTTGAAAACAAAACTCGTTTAAAAAACTAAATACCCACGAATGGCATTAAGTATTCTTTTAGGATAATCACTGAATATTAGAAGCATAGTTCCTTTTCAAGTGTATGCACACATACATATAAATACGCACATACACAAGAACACTTTTTTATGTTTTTCTCTCTGTTATGATACAAAAAAGGAACTGAAAAGAAAAAAGGAACCCCTTCACTTAGCAATCTGAACTACAATTTTATTCAATTTGTTCTGTTAGCCACAAACATTTTATGTGGATATTTGGTCAAACCAGTAAATGAGAATGGGTAACTAGAGGATTTCAATATTTTATACTGTTCCAAATTAAAAAGGGTGATTCTACAAATGAGAATACTGGTAAGTTGTCATCTACAGATAATCTTTTTAGCAAATTATGAAATTATTTCAAGGTGAATTTACAAAGAGGAAAAAAAAAGGTTAGAGGAGGCTATTGTAAAGTAAAATTGGTTGGACCTAAGGAAAAATCAACAGCACATACTTATTACCATAAGGTTCTGATGAGAAGAAACAATTTTGTAACTCGTAATTTTATAATTCATTTAATTAGAAAGTCAAATATACCTGTACTAGTTAAGTCTCTTAAAAACAAAAGGCTAAATTGTTTTATGTTCTAACATTTTGGGGATCAAAATTCTTTACTTCTAAACTAAATAATCTATGTTAAATAATATTTTTTAGGAACTTAAAGAATTAGTCCAACAAGAGAAACTTTAAAAGCAGGAAAACAATCTTTTAAAATTATAGTCTAAGTTTTTAAAAACCGAGATTTTTTTTTTAAAGGATAACTAGAAAGACCCAACTTTTTTTTCCACATTATTTTTTAAACAGCTTTATTTTTATCAAAGTAAGGAACACATACAGTTTAAAATGTCAAATAGTAAAAATCCTAACAGCCAACATTTACTGAGCACATACATGTGCTGGGTACTAGTCTAAGCATCTTAAAATTGCTGCCTCATTTAATCCTCAAAATAACCCCATGAAGTAGGTACAATCTGTCATCCCATTTTACAGAAAAGGAGACTGAGGCATGAAGACATCTACTAATTTACCTAAAAGTTATACAGCTTCTAAGTAGTACAATCAGGATTATAATCATTTGGACCAAGTCCCTGGCAACAGCCTAAATTAAGCTAAATTTGTCTAAAGAATTATAACACGACAGAAGAAAACAAAGCAATTCTGTCTTATACCTTTCCACCAGAAATTCCTGCTATTTCGAGAAAACTATTTGTTAACCCTGCTATTCCTTCTGATATTCACCTTCAACTTCAACAACACAGTTTTACTGTTATTCCTTGATTTTCAATTTTAAGTATTATCTGATGAACTGAGTATCTACTGTGAAAGGTGAGGATTTACCTTTGTCTCATTCTCATTTTGCTCCCTCAATGCTCTCATTATAAAAAATTTTGGTTCAATAGTCATTATTAACATTTTTGATTAAAACTATTATTCACAATTAAGCTAGAGAGTATTCTATGATTACTTTTCTTTTCTTAAAATGAATTTTTGTTTCCCTTAGTCAGCTACCTCATCCCTAACTTCAATGGAAATGTCAACCTCCTCTAGATTCATTCAAATGTATTAGATTGCATTTTCCTTCTGGAAACATTCCTCTTGGAGCCCTTCATCCTCTTGATCTAACTCTGATTGGTTGCTCTTTCTTAATCTTGTGTGCACTGCTGTTCCTCTTTGCCTCTCTTCTATATTAAATCCTATTTGCACAGGAAACCCGTCTTCCTCATTCTTGCTTTAATTCCTTGTAATAGTGGAACACATCCTCCAGTAACTTCTTGAGACTCTGCATGTATAAAAATGTTTTTATACACCACATACTTGGGAGTTTAAATACAGAATTCTACGTTAAAAATCATTTTCTCCCAAATTTTGATCCTTTAGCTTCAGAGTTATTCTTGAGAAGTGTGATGTTATTTTGATTTTTAATTCTTTGTATATGGTCTGCCTTTTTTTCTGGAAGATTTTAAGGTCCTTTTTTCTTTCATGTATTTTGCCTTGGTATGTGCCTTTCCACTTTCCATGCTTTCAATCTTTTTTTTTTTTCTTCTTTTTAAATGGAGGCACTGGGGATTGAGCCCAGGGGCCTCCTGCGTGCTAAGTTGTGCACTACCACTAAGCTATACTCACCCTCCCTTTTAAGAAAGGCTTTTTTTTTTTTAATGAAAGTACTGGGGATTACATGCTTTCAATCTTAAAAGGCATGGCATTCAGTTCTGGGAAGTTTTTTCGCTACCATTTCTTTGACAAATTTCATTCATACCATTTCCTTCAATAAACTTTTTTCAGTTTTTAATAGTGTCCTTACGGATGCTACTCTTATCATTTTGAGGATCCTGATTTCAATTTCTACTGAAGTTTTGTTCTTCACTCTGCATTGTTCCTAATTCTTTGGCATTCTTTTCAACTCCATTAGTCTTTTCTTAAATGTCTACTGACCTCTGGCTATTCACTCACATTGAAAATTGCGCAGTTTCCTCCAGAACTATCCAACATACAGTGTCAAGGAGGAGGGAGCTGCAGACAATCTCCCTGTTTTCAGTTCTGCTCCTTCCCCCTGGCTATGCCTAACTATCCTCAAATCCACAGTCCCTCTAGTTCAATCTCTCCAGAAGGTAAATTTCCAATCTGCCCAGGCTGGAGAGGTGAAGTTGCCAGGTTACTAGTGTGCTAAAAGAAACGGATTTCTAACTGCTCCTTGTAACAGCCAATCTTTCTATTTCCAGCTTCCCCTTAAAATCCACATACTTCCTAACCTATTTTTCATTCTCAATGCCTGAGCCTTTCTTTGTTCTGCAATATGAACAGGCTGCCTTCTTGGCTCTCCATCCATCTAATGCTGCAGTTTTTTCTGGCTGGCTAAAATCGGTTACCACCGTTTTCTAGCTTCTAAAAATGTGCCTGCTGTTGTCTCCTCTCCCTTTCCTTTGGTTCTTGTTGTTTATGATCTTTCTATCCCTTTATTAATATCTTAAAAGGAGCAAAAGGCAGATTGATTATGAACTTATCATTCAAAAAGTAAGTTTTACCTGAGTAAAAACTTAAGGTTGTGACATATTTCTAAATACAGAAGAAAATGCCTACTGAATCTTATTACTACCACTGATGCTGCTATAATTCACTTACCGATTTTGTTTGTTAACAGCTGTGTCTGCACCATTTAGAACCAGCTCTTTCACTTCTGTTGCACCAAAGTTTTCAACTGTGATCTATTAATTTAAATTTTTAAAAAAAGTCAATGTCAGACTGAAAATTTATTAGATTATTTTAATAAGCTGTTATTATAATCTACCTTTCTCTCGTTAAATATAAGAAGTAATAAATTTGAGGTAAAATCCTGCTACCATAAGCTTATTTGTGAATCCTGCATAAAGCCACAACTAGTAATGTTCATGAGTAGTTTGAAATCCTACCTTGACTAACTAATTACAAATTACCAAGTGTTTGGTTTGTTAAGAACAGGAAACTGAATGTTCATTGTGTGTAAACCTCTGAAGGATCCCTAGAGGAGTAGAATATTAGAAAGGATGTTTTCCTTGGAAAGTACTAGAATTCAAGTGTCGAAACTCATTCAGTTTAGACTAGCTATGCATTCCTTCAACGTGACAGGTACTATTCCTGTATTCCACGTATCTCCTTTTTGTTTGCTATTAATTTGGTTTATGAAGGGTCAGCTATTTTTGAAATTTTTTATTTCCCTTACTAGTATGCTAATTTTCCTATACATGTTACCATTCCCACCTTTGTATCTTTTTTCTTCTTATTTCCTCTTTTTGGAATTTTATCCTCTTCTATTAAACTTCTCTCTTTTTTTTAAAGCATCTGCTATCTACAAAACACTATGGTGGGAGTGGGATGATAAGATAAAAAATGAATAAATCCCTGCTCTGGAGAACAAACGTGATATGTAAACAACTCACTGTAGTAAAATAAATGCTAAGATAAAAAATGAATAAATCCCTGCTCTGGAGAACAAACGTGATATGTAAACAACTCACTGTAGTAAAATAAATACTATAATAGAGGCATTAATAGAATGCTATTGGACCACAGAAAAAAGAAAACTTATTTCTAAGTGGAGGAAGTACAAAAGACCTTGAGGAAAAAAATGTCATTTTAAAAGCACCTAGAAGGATGAATAGAGCTCTGGAAGACTGGGAAAGGGCAGAATTTCCAGCTGAGGACACATATTGAATAAATGGATGGAAAAAAATCAGGTTCCAAAAATGTGTGTCCCTAAAAAATAGGGAAGGGAAGGTAAATAAAAGAACACTGTATGACATGATAAAACTTAGTATGAATGGAGGGACACTATGAAAGTTAGAAAAAAAGATTACAAATGTCTTTGAAGCTCATTCTAAAGGAAGTAATAAAGAGCCACTGGAAATCTCTGGGAAAAAAGTGGCAACTGGAAGGAATGTCTGAATTATCATAGTTCTTAAATATAGTAAGCATTCACTAATTTGGTGATAGATAAATAAGAAACAAAACTGCTTGGAACCCAATGTTTCAGTCAATTGAGATGATCAGTAAAGATTCAAAGAAAACTGATATGGTTGTAAGAGAAGCAACTAAAAGGGAAAACTAAAATTTCATAATAAATAGCCTAAGGGGAATTTTTTCTTGAAAAAAAATGTAAACATTATTAAAATAAATTATTTCCTCTTAAATCTATCAGATTTTCTTTTAACTGCACTATGTGCTAATTCTTAAAAAGGTCAAAGAATCGATAAACTTTTTTAAGGGGGCACATAATTTTTTGGCAATTTGTATGATAGCAGAATGTGGTATCTGTTGTCCGCTTTGACCACAAGATGGTAAAGGGGGACTGTTTGGGAGGAAACAAACACATAAAGTTTTTAAAACAAAAAGAAAGAGGACAAAAGAAAAAAGATAAACAGAAGGTTTTACCATTTTCACAAAAGTCTAATTTATAATACTCAAATAATTCCCTTCTGAAGTGCCTTATTATAATCCTGGATGATTTTTGTCTTTTTAAATTGTCAGCTAGTCTACTTTTGCCAGATTGTCATTTGTCAATGGCTTTGCATGTGATTGGATGATTTATTCAACACCCCTTTCACTGAATTAATAAAATTCTGCACCTTTTACAAGATTTGCAAATTCATTTTCCAAATAATATTCCAATATACTTGCATTTGTATTGTACTGCATCCAACAGTAAGACAAAATGGGCAAGAATGAATGTTAGTGTGAAAGGGATGTATGAGTTGGAATTAATCTTTTAAGTCATAAGTTCATTAGTGAATATTTTCATGTTACAGTAAACTTTGCTTCTCTAAACATTCTTGTAATTGCAGACAGGAGAATGAATACTTGAATAATGAGGACCCTTACATATGTAAAGATCTTTAGCATAATGTTAAAGTATATAGTCACAGAGCTGGATATAAATACTATCTCTGAAAGGTGAAGATTGCTTTCAGTTTTTTTCATCTGTAAAATAAGTGTAATAATACCAATCTCTTGGGATTATGAGGATTAAATGAAATAATGCATGTACTCTGATTAGCATATAGTTAATGCTCAATAAATGTTAGCTAAAGGGTTCTTTAAGAATTCCATCCATCAAAATAAAGAAAAACCATAAAGCACAGCTGATAAAGGGGATGATGAATAATCAGGCTACCCTATGCCTTTCTGAAATCTTACCGTAAAATTAAGACAAAACGTTTCCTCAACATCATCTTCTGGATAATCCAGTAGTTGCTGCATGCTTCTGAAAAACAACATATATGTTCCTTTGAGGTAAAACATTACTGAGTATTTTGACTATTTTGCTTATGACTAAGTATATATTTCTCATTCTTGATTAAATCCTTTGGTTAATTTGTACTTTTACATTTGTTTCATAATGGTGGATGTATAACGGCAAACTTATAAAAAATGCTGAAGAAAAACTGCTCTAAGGTTTTTATCTCTTCCTTTGAATACAAAGGCCATCTATCCACCCATTTTCAACATCTGTCCCTATTTATATACAATTTTTATTCTATTTTATATAACAAATAAAAAGAAATTTTACGTATTCAACCTAGGAATGAAGGTGATTAGAAGCAAAGGTCCAAATAAATAATATAACTAGTCTCAGGAAACATTACCTGCCTAAATTTACTATCTGATACTGGTGAAGTATTGTTAAACTACTAAAAATTTAGCACATGGTTTTATACACGTAAGTCTTTCTGCAGAAAATTCTGGATCTGAGTTAACATAGTGGGTTTTCCTTTATTAGAAGGCCTATCTGTTTATTTTGGAAATTCAACAGGAACAACAAAAATATAACTATTCTTAAAAGGAAAGCTTCTGTACATTGCCCATTTCCTATGTCCTAAATCCCACTCTTGCCACTTTTTACAACTAACCTCCCAACATCAGGTACTAGTTCTTTCAAATCTTCCAGGGATGGCTTCTTTTTTAGCAGTTTCTTATATAAAGCCAAAGGAAAATGGAGGTCCACAATAGTAAAATTATAAATCGCTAATCCACAGATAACACCAATCAAATGGAACAAATCACTGTCTTCAAATGTCTAAAAATATAAGGGAAAAGAAGTAAAGACCTTGTTCTCCAAGTTAAAACATTAAACTCTGATTATTATAACACATACTCGTAGAAAAGTTTGGAGATACAGAAAAAAGTAATGAATAACAGGAAAAAGTTCATTCTCATTCATATCTCCCTGAGACAATAATCAGTATTAGTATTTTTGCACATTTCCATTCAATGAACTTTCTAAGACAAAAGTAAAGTCTATTGGAGAGAT